AGATTTAATCTAATTATTTTTGTTAATTATATTAATTATTTTAATTTATTGTCTATATGTCATAATTAAGAAAAAAAAATTAGTGGTTATCATAATTACTTTAGTGATTTAATATAATATATTTTTTAACTAAATTGTGATTGACTAATGGACAGTGGGTGAATATTTCTTATTCACCTTAGGGATGAACCCAATAATTGTTTTTATGTCAAACAATTTGATCATTTTTCAAATTAGGATTTAAAAATATTGATTTATCAGTCAAGACTCAAGAGTCGACACATGTATGTTCATCCGATTTTTTTTTTTTAAAGTACAACGACCTACCAAACCATTTCGGAAGAAGTTGAAGTACCATCCAGAGTAGCCCTACCACAGAGGTATACAGAAAAAGTCACAAACCCTTATCAAATGTTATGACTAAATTGTAGAGAGTAATTGACAAAAAAAAAAAAAAAGAAGTAAATCTATGTGCGTACTTCTATATTGGCTTGAAATTGAAGCCTCTTGATCATTTGGCGGACCTACTTCTATACCTATATATAATGAGATAACATGATTCGTAAATTGTAAAGCACTTCATGTTAATTATATTAACTATAGATCAATGTTGATGTGAGAAAGAGAGAGTAGTTACAACTTACACGAGTAGATCATTTGGCTCCACCATGGAAGATCACAGCTGCTCCTAAACAATTCAGCGTTTTGAGCCAAATGATTTAGTGGAATACCTTGACGTTCATCTATGCCTGAACTGAGTATCAAGCCTGGGCACGCTTCAAAAATCTCCAAAGCAACATCTAATTACGAATAAAAACACAATAAAATCTCCCAAAACTTGTCCATGTATCACCATCCGAATTCAAATCCACTTGCATGAAGTTTGATTAGAACAAAAAAAAAAAAAACTTAAAACATCAATTATAAGAATACGGAGGAGGGTGTAAAATTAAATTTACCGAGAAATCCGTATTGTATAACATTTGAAAGGATACGGGAACCAAATTGTCCTTCATTAGCGAGTAAAATGGAAATAGGGGTTCGGTGATAAAGAAATCTTGTCATCTCTTTGTGGCCATCAAGAGATGCCTTTAAGACGGGTATAAATACCCCACAACTACTAGGAATCTCAGTGAGCTTGGGGCACTTTGCAACCAAAACCTTGGCGATCTCCAAATTCCCGGTGGCCGCAACAACTATAAGTGGTGTAAGGCGGGAATGAGTCTGTTTTACTCTCGGGGTCGACAACTGTTCGAAGGTTTTCATTCTTCTTAACAGTTCTTTGACGATCTCTAATTGTCCAGAGTTACAAGCTTTAAGCAATGGTGTCTCGGTGTTGTCTATCCATTCACTCAAGGCTTCTGGATTCTGGTCTAGGTGAATTTTCACACCTTCCAAGTCTCCATGACTTATAGCATGAGATAGAGGTAAATACTTGTGGTGTTCATCTCTCAATGTCTCTGTGAACATATCACATCTGTCAATGAATTTTGCTTAAGATGCTTAAGATTATGAATTCATTTTTTTTTTAAATACATGCATATTAATACGACTGAAGTTAAGG